ATCCTACACGGGATCAAATATATACTAACATCATACACCGCAGAGTATACTACACGACACACTCAACATTCATGCCAAATCGTTATGCATTTTTAATCGAATTAAACGATGCACGAAAATGCCCAAACGGCTACAATTCACAACCTAGGATTCACGCCTATCGGCTACCCACAATACATCACGAGCCATCACACCATCTTCTAAATCAAGGAAGGGTCGATCGCAATCGGAACCCCAAGTCACAACTGCACCCAACCGCAGAGAAGACTCATTCTGCTACGTTCGCTACACGCTCGCCTAGCGAGCTGCTAGCGAACGTTCGCCACCTTCTCGCCTAGCGAACTGCTAGCGAGCAAGAACAGAAGCTACAGACTTCGTTCGCTACCTCGTTCGCTACAGCGAACCCCCAGGGAGCCATTCGCTACTCCATTCGCTGCCAGCGAAGGAGACCAAAACACCACTGTCCCAAGTCTGGGACCGTTCGCTACGCACTCGCCTAGCGAGATGCTAGCGATCACTCGCGACCTGCTCGCCTAGCGAGCGTCTGCGAACTGAACTTTCTCCCACTGTTCAGAATCCAAACACCCGATGAAATCTCCCGATAAATCCCAACTCGTTCCCAGTAGCCTTAGCCTAACATATATTGACTAATCTACGGTATCTAAACGTGATTCTAACCGATAAACATCAGTTCTACCGATTTAACTCATTTATGCCCTAAATGGAAAAATGAGGAAAACATTCCAACAACTAACACAATCCATACATAATCATAAACATTAATAAGATAATGATACTTCACACCCTTACCTGATTATTTGCAAGCTTTGATCGATTCTTCCAGCCTCTAGGTTTTTCTCTTCTTTCTTCCCTCTTTCCCTTCTCTTCCTTTCTTTCTTTTCTTTTTCTTTCTAATGTCACTAACTTTCTTTCTCTTCTCTTTTTATCTCATCTTTCCATTTCTTTCCTCTCATTTTCTTTCCCTCTACTAACTAATCAAATCTCATAAATTAACCACTTAACATTAAATAGGAAAATGTCTATAATACCCTCCAAAACTATTTTCTCAGAAAACTCCCCAATTCGGTTAAAATAGGATAATATGTAAACATAACATATTTTCATGCAAATTCCACCTCAAAATAATATTCGCCCAATTAAACCAAAAAGGACTCAACGAAAAAGGAATAATCGAAATCGGGGCGTTACACTACTTCCAAAGTAACCAATGACTAATTTGTCCAAAGAAGTGACGTGGTGCAAATCCCAAAGCTTCTACAACCATACTTTTCTACAGAAAGCATATCTCTTCCCATACTTTTAGTAATGAAAAGTCATACAATCAAATATTATATTCAACTGCACATCACTCAAGGCATTTGAAAAAGATATAAAAGGAGAACTACTTCAACATTTTGAGGTTGCTAATTCACGACTCATCTTTTTCTCATTGCTAGATCACTCAGAAAGAAATACACGCTTGATTCATAAAAGAGAAAATCTCTCAAGATCTTACTCATTTGATCTCTCATAAAACCACATAGTTTTTGTTGTACTTAATCTTAAGTGTAAACATCACAGTTGTGATACAACTTATTAGAAGCATTCAAACATTTGTTAGTTTACATTAAATTGTAAGAAGTTCCTTAAGAAGACCAATGTGTGGTCAGTAGTTCTTGAGAAGACTAAGACAGTTGTTCTTAGTGCTTTCTATTGTAATCAGTTGATCAATAGTGGATTAAGTCCTTGCAGAGAAAGACAAATCATCTTTGATAAGGTGGACTGGAGTAGTTGAGTTCAACGAACCAGGATAAAAATATTGAGTTCTTTTTATTGCCATATTTCTTAAAACTCTTATTCAACCCCCCCTTCTAAGTGTTTTTTTCACCTTCACGGTGCACTTAAGTAAATGTAGAACACCATAAGATCCAATACACTTAAGTAGAATACATAATATGGTAAGGTACCACGCGCTTAGGTTATATATGGTACACCATAAGATATGGTGTGCGTGCACTTAAGTGGACTTTTTAACTTATAGCCCACACAAGTTGTTCTATAAATAGAACCTTTGTGCAGAAGCATTCACTCTTGATGAAAATTCGGACTGTGAAACCCTAACCATATTTTTCTTCTCTCTCTCTCTCTCTCTCTCTATCTCTCTCTCTCTCTCTTTCTCTCTCTCTCTCTCTCTCTCTCTCTCTCTCTCTCTCTCTCTCTCTCTCTCTCTCTCTCACACACACACACACACACACACACACACACACACACACACACACACACACACACTCAAAGCCTTCAACCGTAGCAGCTAGCATTGAGACCGAAGGAATTTGTTCGTGTGGACTAAGTAGAGGCGTTGTTCATCATTCAACGCTCGTGATCACTCCTTCGATTCAACATCAAAGGTTTTATCGCCACAAGAGGTAACCGTTTCTATGAGTGATCATGCCCATTCGTAAGAATCATTAAAGAATTTTTTTTTTAATTTCTGTTGCGTTTTGGATTGCGATTTCCCTTCAAAAACAATATCAGTTTGAGTGTAAAAGACATTTGAAGTTTGAGATGGTGGTGAAGAGTTGACAATGTGGAAAAGAAGAGTGAAGCTAACATCAAAGTATAATTCATCTTAACAGAAAATGACAAAGTAACCCGAAAAACAATTTGTTTGATTCAGTATAGAGTCTGCGTGAAAGAGATAATAAAGAAGGAAGGTCTGACAACGATGATGTTTACATCAAAATTCAATTGATTCATTTTAGTGGTTAGAGAATTAGGAGCACAAAAATAAATTTTGTTTTGTTATTGGTGGTATGGAGGTCGAAGATAGAAGGAGGAGTAAAATTGCTAGGGTTTACACGCTGGAAGATAGAAGGAGGAGTAAAGTTGCTAGGGTTTACACGTTGGAGGAAGAGGAAAATCAAGAAAATGAAAAAATAAAAGTTGTTTATATCCTCCCTTTTACAAAGAAAATATGACATGGCAACATGTCAATAATTAAATATAAAAAAGTTTGTTAGATATGTCACGTCAATAAAAATAAAAATTTAGTGTTCAAACATGATTTTTATAAACAAAAAAAAAAGGTTATGAGAAGAGGTGAAATATTTTTAATTTTAATTTTTATATATAAGTTTTATTTAACAACAGAAACTAAATTTTTAGTTACGTTGTTTTCAAATAGAAAACAAATTACAGAACATAGTGTTAATTATACAAAATCTAGATGTAGTCTCATGATAGTATGTAATTTTGTAATAAAAAATATCTGTAATTTAATATTTTATTTTGTTTCTTCTAGATTTGGTTTAAGTGTTTTTGAACTTCTACTTTTACTTTAATTATAGAATGTATTAACTAAAAAAATTCTTTTTTACTTTAATTTAAATAATGTGTTTAAAACTGATGTATTGTTTACTGTGTATTATGTATATGAAAAAAACCTAAATAAAACAAAAAAGGCACTGGCAAAAATTTACGATTTAAGATAAGAAACACTACTTTGCATCAGTAATAATAATTTAAGAAAAAACAACTAACAATTTAGAAATTAACTTTAACGATTCTGTCCTAATTGGCAAATTTGATTTTATAAGAAAATGTACATCAAAATACAGCAAAGCCAAAATTCCCCCAATAGAAGAATTTAACTAAATGAATTTAAATGAATCCGCGTAAAAAATATTAAATAAAATAAATCTAGATTTAGTTAAAAATCATGTTCATCAAAAATTAAAAAAAAAAAACATAAATTAATTATTTATTATAGACATTCATTGGGTCCCTCTGTAACGATGCCTTACTCCATCAACCGCTATGTACATACATGACACATCACAACACAACGCCTCGATTACCACCTTACCTTTTCGTTAATTATATTTTCAATAATTTGAAGAAACTTACCTAAATTACTTGTACTCTTACTTAAAATAAAATAAAAATAAAAATTTCAAACTCATGCATATCATTTCGTTGTCCACTTCAACTAATCAAAAATAAAAATAAAAATTATGACTATGTTTGTTACAAAATTGTTAATTTACTAAGTTAATTTATAATGTTAAATAATTAAATATAAATTAAAAAAATTAAAATTTATAGATTATAATAAAAATTAATATAAATTTAAAGTTCAGCCTTTTCATCCCCTCATTTTTTATTTATTTTTAATTCTAATATTATTGAGTTATTGCTCTCTTTAAAATAATTGTAAAATAATTTTCTATTATCGTTTAATAAATAATCAGGAGTCTATATGCTAAATAAATAATATTTTTCTGATTTAATGGGATATAAATTGATTATTAATCATAATTTTTGATATTATCTATTTTCTTATTAAAAAATTATAAATTTTATAAAATTATTAATAAAAATGTGATAATTATGAGTTATAAATATAAATTGTTTTCTTTCTTCTACCTTACATAAATTGATTATTGATCATAATTTTTGATATTATCTATTTTCTTATTAAAAAATCATAAATTTTATAAAATTATTAATAAAAATGTGATAATTATGAAACAACTATTTTTTTAATATATAAACTTATGAGTTATAAATATAAATTGTTTTCTTTCTTCTACCTTACATAAATAAATATAAAAATAATTATATTATATTATATTATATAAAAATAAAATTTAAAAATTATTGTTATACATAGTTCCATTATATCGCGTGTGTAACACGTTACTAAAGCCGCGTGATAATTACAGCACCGCTCACATTTCATGTGTGTATCTCTCTACAAATACACACTCTCCCCTCTCCTACTCACACTCTCTCACACACACTCACATTTTTCTCTCTCCCATGTCTCGCATTTCTGCAATCATGGGTCCCTTCACACATTCCACATAGTTTCTCTTTTTCTCTTCCTATTAAATTCCCTTCAAAACCCACCAAATTCCCATCACACTTCTTCAAACCAAAATTTTCAAACCTTGTTCTCTCGGTTTTTTTTCTCTCTGTTTCATATTCATTGTTTTGCCATGGCTGAAAACTTGGTCGATGGAGAGTTCTGGTTACCACTACAGTTTCTCTCCGACGACGAAGATGGCAGCGAGTTAACCACCCTTTCATTTCTATCAAAAGAGAAACCTTCTCAGCTCCTCAACAATGGCGAAGATATTCATCCTTTTCCCTCTGAGTTCCCTTATGGCTTCGCTTCTTCTGATTTCAGTTCCTCTGTGGACTCTCCCAGTGGTTCAAGCGAAACAGAAAGTGACGAGGATGAAAAGCACATGGCTGAGTTGACTCATCGCATGGGCCGTTCCACCCTCCAAGGCAATTCCAAAACCTCTGATAATAACTTGGTATGAAACGGTTTAGGCGCTTTTTCTATTGGCTTGTTTCTGTTTCTGTTTTTCCTTTTGTTTTTTTTGCGTTTGATGTTTATGTTGTCGTTTATGGTTTATGGTTTATTTTTTGCAGGGTCGTTTTGTGTCAGGCTCACCGCAATCTACCCTATGTGCTTTTGGGAGTGGTTGTAGATGCCGTAACGTTTCAAGTTCAAGCCATGGTAGTCCTAACAGTGTTTGTGAGGTTTCTTCCTCAAAGGCTACTTGGGATCTGCTGCATGCGGCTGCGGGTGAAGTAGAAAGGATGAGGTTGAACCAGCAACGTTATAACTCTCAAAAACTTTCCCCTATTACTCTATCCTCCAAAAACAACACTGTTTCTACCAATCATGAAATGGGTTACTTCACTCAACATTCACTTTCTCACCAGCAATTGCAAATTGCACAAGTAAGCTTTAATTTCATGAATTAGTACTTTCCTTTTTGTTTTAATGTACAAAATAATAAAAGGATTTCATTATTTTTTTGTAATTGAAGTTTCAGATGCTGAGACAGCAACAAATGGCTAAACAGAACTCAATGTGGGGAGGTGTGCAGAACCAATATGGGGGTGTATTTGAAAATCAACAACCCAATCATACAGCACATAACAAAGGAAGAAACATTGGTGATACTAATGGTGTTGATGGGATGAGAAACACAAGCACAGGCGCTTTAGGTTTGTCTTCATCTGCATGGCCAACACTTCAACATGCCAAACAACAGCAGTTTTATAATCAAGCCAAACAACAGCAGATTAACAATCAACAATTTGGGTCAGGAATGAGAGCTGTTTTTCTGGGAAACGGTTCGGGAAGAAGGGAAAGTGCTGGCACAGGCGTGTTCTTGCCTCGTCGTGTCGATTGTCCTGCTGTATCACGGAAAAAACCAGGTGAATGCTTTTTTCGTGTTTTTTTTGTCCTTAATAATTTCAAATCTTGCTTGTACTTTTTTTACTTGATTTTCATTTCTTAAGCATTTAATGCGGTAGTTGTGGTTGAGCATCATTACTATAGAGAACTAAAATGTTCGTAAATTGTTGAATCTAGTTGTAAATGTTTTGTACTATTTATACGCTATTGGAACTTTTTTATCACCCTTTTTTATTTATTTTTTGTAAGTTTTAATTCTTGTTTTCTCGTTTTAGGAGGAAGTTTTTGTTTATTTATTTATTTTTTGGTATATTTATAATAACAGCTTTCCCAATTTTTGTGTTTTTTGTTTGCAGTATGTTCAACTGCGTTGGTTCCAGCTAGGGTGGCCCAAGCCCTAAATCTGAACCTTGATGAGTATGTAGTGGGACAGCCTCAACAACACTTGCATCTGCATCGTTTTAATTCCATCTCTAATCCGGACAATGGTAATAATAATTATATAATTAACAAAATTGTAATTAATTAATTAAGAGTGTACTTGTCAGTTATCACTCCGACTAATCTGCATTTTTATTTTTAAAATGGGTTAATGAATATTGAATAATTGACTTTTGTGTATATGCAGTAGCCCCTCCTAGGCATAGGGGTAATTATGTCCATTCACATCAGAAGCACATCAACAACAACATCAGCAGGCCACAGCCAGCAGTGAGCAATGAAATCAGCCTTCCCAAGGAGTGGACTTACTGATGTGATGAAAAAGGAAAATGGGGTAGGGATTTTGGGAGTATTTTAAGGATTTGATGTTACAACAGTTTATTAGTTTATAGGAGAAGGAATAGTTTTTTGGTTGTTATGAAAGGTAAGTGAGTTTTTGGGGGAGAAGATATTTGGGTGAAGATGTAAGAAAAAATAGAACATAAATGTTTTTTTTTTAGTTTAGCAAGAGTTTAAGAATAATGTTAGGTCTTCGGATAAAAAAAGTAATGCAGTTATGACAGCCTGAAATTGCAGCGATATCAGTTACTTTTTGTTCTTTTTGATGGAGAGTTGTGGTAAAGTCTCTAGAGGAAAGACAAAAATGGTGGATGGGTCAATTTTTGCCTTTGTTTTTGTTTGGTGTTATTATGGTAATAGTAATAAAAAATGGGTTTGGGATGACAATGGAGAAATTTGGAAGGGATTGGACAGATTTGAAGTGGTTTTACAGTTTTACAGATTCTTATATATTTTGTTGAATATCTGATTATGCCAACCTGTCCAGCTTAATTACTTATATTATAAATAAATAATACAAGGGGAATTTTAGTTATATTTTTTTCTCTTAACTTTTATGTGAATTCCATCATTTTTTAAATTTATTTAACAAAAATTTCCCTATGGTAAATCTTAATACAAATAATTGAGGGAATGTTAAATATTTATACAAATAATTGAGGGAATGTTAATTATGTCTTAAACGTGTTAATCATGTTTGAGTTTTATCTAGTCATGATAATTATGTTTATCATCTTTTTCTTTTATTATATTTATGTTCATATTATTAATTGATTTAACAACTATTTTTCTAATTATAGTTAATAATTATATTTTTATAAATAATATTAAATTTATATTTAAAATTAGGGAAATGCTAACCAATAAATTTTTATAAAAGTATGTGCAATGATGTGTAATAATGTATATTGGAAATTGAAGTGTTTGAATTTTTTAATAATTTCTTAATATAAAATGTTTAAATAGTGCTCTAAGGACACTAGTAAAACCCTTAAAATTATTATCGCTAATCTAGTAATTTTTTAACTTACAGAAAAAGTTAATTAAAATGGTTTTTATTAAAACATTTGAGTTTTTTGCAGGATCAAATAAAATATTATATCTCTGCCTCTAAATATTTCTTTATTAAATAATAAGAAATAAGAAAACTGATATTAAATTTATTTTTGGAAATAATTTTATTTTTGTAATTTGTCCCTTATAAAACAAAATAAAATTGTATTCAATACAAAAAGTAATACAAAAAGTAATGTAATATAAATAAAAATATATTAATAAAAAAAGTAATAAATATAATTAAAAATAAATAATATTCTTTTAAAGCGGTGTCTTAAGTGTTATGAGCTGTGTCTTACAAAGAACTTGTTTCCAGTACAATTAAAGGCAACTTTTGCTTTGTCCAAGGAGGCTACTGCAGGCGCTTTGAATATTGAACGGTATATTTGTAAATTGTAAGTATTTAAATAACTTTTAGACCATTGGGTATTATTGCGGCCTCTCTTATAAATATGGCAAAGTGAAAAAGAGAAAGTAAAGAAAATGAGCATATATCAATTGATGGGTCAAGTGTGAGTGTACGTATGTATGAAGATTAATTGACCATTGCTTGCTAGGGAAGCTTCTGTGCCTTTGGTTTGATTTGTGGTACAATATGTGTTTGGTTTAACACGTGTAAGGTTTTGTTTTTCAAGTGTTCATAAATCGTTTTCATATGGTGCTTTCATTAATGCCCAAAAAGTTCCATCTTCAGTCTATATATCTTGGAACTTACAAATGTGGTGGGGGGCTCATGGTTCATTTCTTAGTTTTTAAGGCTTTCTAAGGAAACGTATCCATCTGGTATTGCCTTACTCTCCTATTGCAATTTACCCCTTTTATGGAAAAAATGTTTTTAAGAAAAAAACTCTTAAACGGTGAGTCGAATGTTACTTTTACTCATGGTTTTGAAAATTGGTTACCGAAGAAATTATTAAGTTGAGTCGCGAATTAGATCCCTTTTTTAAAACGTTTTGCGACAATCGTCTAAAATTATGCAAAACAGTCGAACTATCGCGCCGCTTCTAGGTTAAAACAACTCAGTTGTATAATGTACGACTACTTACACAATAGATAATCAGTCTAAAAATATAATATCCTATGGTACAAAAACCATTCGAATATGGTATAAATACTACTCGTAGTATCTGGTATAACGACCAGTCAAGAGAATTCAATAATTATCATTTGACCACTCAATGATTTCTCAAACAAAGAGAAGTTCGAATAATTCTCTAAATTCCAAAAACTATACTTGAAATTTCTCAACTCAAGCGAGGAGAAATTAAGATAATTCTCTATAGAGAATTCAAGAAAATACTAAACAAAATTGACGCTTCAACAATTTGAAAGACGTAGAGTTATGAGAGTGATGAAGGAAAACTCAACAAAAGGAGTTTTTGGCGTGTTTTGGAATGAAATAGGAAATTTTCTTATATAATGAAGTGAGCTAGCTAAGATATCTCACCTAAGCAATGTGAGACTAAGAAGTTTTTTCAACTAACACACAATGTGAGACTTGACTTAAGGAACTTTTTCAAATTCATCTTCCTATATTTGAATATTGCCATAATCTTTCAACAATCCCCACTTGAACTTAAAATAGTATTTTAGAAGTAACGTCAAACATTTATAAGATTGTGCATAAAAAAATGTGTCTACGACTTGAACCTTTGCGTAGCAAGTACGATTCCGATTCAACAAGAGTGACACTATTGTCTTGAACTCTATCTCAAACATCAAACTCACACACAATCTTTTCTTAAGGTGTATTCTAATAGTTCGTGCTTTAATGGCCCTGCACGTGTATCCTGATTTTGTGAAGGCTCTAGGAATTTTTCCTCGAAATTCCATAGGAATCGACCTAAGTTCCACAATCACATAGGTGAGTCTACCAAGAGTACTCTTGTAGCCTAAGTACACCCTCATATAAAGTATAGATCTCATTAAAAGTTTATATTATCTCATCCTCTTATTACTTCAGGATTCATGGTTTATTTATTTATACTCGCATGATCATCTTATATTACTCACAACTTGTTATTAGCCATTAAACTTATTTCTTGGATACTTGTGTACTTTAGGCGGTATCATCGCTTCTTAGATTGCATTCATCCTTTAATATGCATATAATAATCCACATACGTGTGTGTTGCACCCCAAAATTTGCCCTCACAATACAAGACTTTGTGTTCCAAGAAGGTTCACAAGGTTCACAAAATTCACAATTGGTCAGAAGAGTTGACAATTCCCTCAGACAATGCACCTCCTAAGCAGTGCATCCAAAACTAGGGTTTTGACTTTAATCAGGCTAAATGGACTTCCAAGACTTCAAGTGAGCTTCATAACATCTTATATGTGTATAAGAACCCCCATGTCAAGTTTCAAGACTTTTCTCAAAAGTTTGCTCAGTCAGATGATCAGATAAGTCAAAAGCAGTCAATGCAGTTAAAAGGTCAAACTGAGGTCAACTGTGGTCAAACCAAAGTCAAACTTCATGATTTTTTTTTTGCCAACATCAAAGAGAGGTTGGGTGAGAAATATTATCATAATAACTGTAATACCCCAAATTTTGCCCTAAGATTTGTCGTCGCATTTCATTGCATTTAATCAATTACTAACAAATTTGTGTAGTCGTTTGACTTTTGCAGGTAAATATCATATGGCATGCATTTTTTTTCTAAAAAGTAAAAATGGCACAATTGGCAGGAGGACATGTGTAAGGAGTTATGAGTGTGAGAGGTTGAGAGTTCGAATCTCACCTTTGTCACTTTTTTTTGTTTTTATTATTTTTACTCTAAATTTTTCTATCTTTCATTAAAAAAATAACAAAAATAGTTTTTTATTATTATTTAATTATTATTTTCGTATTTTAATTAAATCATTTTTTAAAATATTATTTTTTTCACTTTTTTCTAAATTATTCATAAAAATATCCAAAAAATCATAAAATAAAAAATATTAAAAAAAATTTTGTTCTTTTTATAATATTTTTTATTTTAGGAATCAATAGGATTATTAGTTTTTATTTTAAGTTTATTTTAATTATTTTAAATTATTTAAATTTTATTTTTTCTTAACTAATTATTTAGTTTGGGCTTTAAAATGGGCTTTAGGGACATTATTGACAATTTGGTGTTAACCCTAATTTGTTCCCTATATATACATGTGTTGCCTTGTTGGAAAAAAGGAGAGAAGGAAAAAAACCTAAGAGGAGTGAGTGCCGTTTGCCGTTATTTAGTTTTCTTCTTCATCCATTACTATTGTTTCTTTTTCTTCATCGTTTACCGTTATTTCTTTTCCTTCATCTATTACTGTTGTTTCTTTTTCTTCATCTTTTACCGTTATTTCTTTTTCTTCATCTATTACCGTTATTTCTTTTTCTTTATCTATTACTGTTACGTTTATATATATATAATTTTTAAATTGTTAGAGTGTATATATATAAGATTTTTGATCGAATTATGTCGATACGATGTTTGCACATTTGTGTGCATGACGCGTGACATTTGTGTTAGTTCGATCTGGTTGCGATGATCGCATTTTTGTGTGAGCAATAATACTATTTTTTGCTTAATTTCTTTTTCTTTGCGATAAATTTTGTTTCGTCCGATTTAGATCTGGTTGCGATGAGCGCATTTCTGCGTTAGCAACATTGTTGGGTTATTTGGCACATTTAAAATTCATTATTGCTTTATTATTATTATTATTATTATTATTATTATTATTATTATTATTATTATTATTATTATTATTATTATTATTATTATCATTATTTATTATTATTATCATTATTATCATTATTATTACCATTATTATTATTATTGTTATCATTAATTTATTAAAATTTGTTATAATATAAAAATCTGTTTTTTAAAATAAATAACATTAACATCTTTTCCAAATTAATATGAAAACCTATTATTTTTAAGAAAAAC